TTCCAGGGCCAGTCAGTCTAGTTTACAGCATTTACTGTTAATGACTAGAAGAGGGCTAATTGACCATACGTAAGGCTCAACTGCTGTTTGAGAACCACAGTAAATTTCCTTGCTTCGTTGTCAGAGGCTGGAGCTGCTTGGTTGTTTTTCTGACCTGGAACTGATGAGGATCTTTGCTAATCAACTTCTGCAACGCTCTGGAGACATCTTAGCTCTCTCCATCCTTGCCTCAACCTGGTTTCTTTAATAGTGCTTTGAGCTACTGCAGATGCCCAAAGCCTCAAATTGCCACCCCTGTCCTTCCAGTTTGCTTCAGTGCCTCAGCGCTGAAGACACTGGCTTTCAAGGGATAAAGTGCAGAGTGATGTGGCTGGCTTGGAAACACCTGGGGCCAAGTCTCACATGGTCCCTCTCTCTCCAAAGAGAGCAACCGCAGTGCTTGGGAGCTGTGGCCATCAGTGCCCATGGACTTCTCCCTCCTCTCTTTGCCATGAGATGCTCACGAGTATTTAATCCCATGTGTAAAGTGATTGCTGTCCCTCCTGCTTGCTCAGCCTGCAAAGATGGAGGTGCCATCATGCTGCTCTGGTGAGGTTACCCTTCTGCATATCAATGCTCAAATGGAGAATAATCTCTGCTGCCAGTGTTTAAACAAGCTGTTTTGAGGAAACTGCTGCCTTTATGAAATGCTCAGGCAGGAGTCTTTTCCTGTTCTTTGTTTTCCATGATAGTATGTAAATAAAAAACATTTGGATATGAGGGCAGAGGTAAATCCTGTAGTGCTGGTAGCAGTTCCCCCAGCCCTTCATGGACGTGAGACCATCACACTTGATGCACCCCGTGGCGCAAACTTGGATCACCATATGTGTGTCTTTAGCAGAATAAAGTTTGAAGCGAGGGATCTTTGAACCTGTTTTGCTTTTGTGCTTGGAATGAATTTGGTCACGTATATTAGAATTACTTAATGTATGATACTTGCGATTGCAATGTTGCTGGTGTCTGATGATGGATGGCCTGATGGGTGACTTCTTAGCTCCTTTGTTGAGGGCCTTGTTGCGCAAAGCCAGGCTGCCCATCCGTCCTGTGTTCCCTGCTGCCAAAACAAGGCCCCAGCAGAGACAGTCCCTCCAGCGATGATGCTCTGAACCTTTAAGAGCAAAATAATCAGGCTCAGTAAAATGATTCCTGAGCTACTAGCCTTGATTGTGACGCTTGCTCCAGTGGGTTTGGAGCAGTGGGTTTGGGCTGGAATGGGTACAGAAAAGCCTTTTTGAATGAAAGTAGTGAACGCAGCATTGCACGGATGACTTCACTGTTCTCACACCCTCCCACCCCCCCAATTCCTTGAGGCTGATTTGGTACCTTTCCTGCTTGTTGGCAAAGGTAGATATGTGATCAGTTTTAAAGCACTTTGCCAGCTGCAAAGGTGACTTAAACCTTTAATTTTTTTCTTAGTTAGAAGCTTGATTGTTTTAAAACTTTATCCTCTGAGCAGCAATTGTAACTGATACCTGGGTGCAGGGTGGTGGGTGTCTACTGGGTGGAGCTGGCTTGTCCCAGAGAGGAGAACTTGGGACCTCTTAGCAGGCTGAATAGGCCAAGTGGAGTGAAAAAAAGTTGTTTTTCTCCAAGTTGGCAACTTTACACTACTGCTTGCAGATATAAATGAACTTTGTCTTTTGAAGACTTCTGTGAGGCAAGTGCCTTGAAATGTGTATAAAGGAATGCTTGTACACTTATCTATTTAGGGGAGTTATGCGGTTACATGAGCTTCGAGCTACCCTGTCACATAATGGTGGGGGGGAACACAAAGCACCTATTTAGAGATTACAAAATTTGTGCTGAACATGGGTGGTACAAAACCTCTTCCCCAGCATCTTTCTCTTTGGAAAATAAGATGTTTTTTACAGTGCTGTCAGATAGCGGGGCTTTGTTTTCCAGCTCTCGTGAACAAATAGCGTGTTGTTGTGCCGCCTTATCATCACAAGGCTGTTTCTTGGTAGGAATGTTTCAGGTATTCCTGATGCAGAGAAGGAAAACCTGGAGCTTGGAAATGCCTGATCTGAAAACATGATGTGGCTTCAAGAGCTGGTATCTTTCCAAAAGCGAGGACTTGGTACACGTTGGGCTTTTGTTCAGTGGACTCTATGGCAGTCGTGTAATCTGCTGGTCAGCACTTCCTAGTGCTGGTTCTTTCGGAAACGTAGAGCAACAACTTTGAACTATTGTGAAAACAGGATTGTTTTTTAAGGCTATAAAAGGCATCCATCTTGTTCTTTTTGGCACAGGTTTTTTGATCATTTGTAGTCAATGCTCTGAGTCCCTGAAAATCTGAAACTATCCCGTGTAAACAACTTTATTCCACAAACACTAGCTGTGGCTTTGTTCCCTGGGCCACTTTTTACTGGAAAACTGCAGGGGACCTGGCTTCTCACTTTCCTCTTCTATAGGCAAAACATGGAAATGTCTTTTGCACTTCTAGTGCTTATTGCAGAATTAGGTGCAACATTAAGGTGCTATTTCTGTCTTAACAGAATTTGCTGAATTAGAAAAAAAAAGGCCATTTGAGGTAGTTGGAATTGCATGTGAGTGTTTTCAACCTCCAAATATTGCAACAGCGTTCCTTTTCTCTCTCTGCCACGTACAATTGCTCACTGTGTAGAATGGCAGATTACATAGATGGGCTGTAATTATGAAAATATGTAACACTATTTCTAAAATGTCACTTGCAGTTGCTTGAAACTTTGGCAAACTTGTTTTTCGCTTGTTCTTTGCAATTAAAATCTGTAAGGGGCAAAACTTACTGGAAAGCCTGGAGAAAAAGGGTGAATCAGAGTGACTGCCAGGGAATTAACTCTGTCTTGACTCTTCTGACTATTTCAGTATCTTGGGTGCCTTGTTGTAAATTTGAATTAGAAATTACTGTCAATGAGGTCAGTTTTGTTCCTGTCCCTATGGCTCAAGTGATGTGGTTAAATATTTGTGAAGCATTTCTCTAAGCTTAAAATCTCCAGCCTAATTCTTTACCAAAAAAACACCCAATTGCAGAGCTAGCAAGAAAGGTTCCTAAAATCTGAAGCTGTTTGCATGTGCATGGACACCAGCGTTTTTTCAGTATTAACTTTCTTAATCTGCCTGTACCACTTCATAGCTTCCTGCAACATCCGACCATCTTGCAAGCTCTCCCACTAGAGCATCTTTGCCCAAGGAAAAGCACTTTGAGTTAACTCATGGGGCAGAGTAAAAATGATACTGCTGCTGCCACTGCCAGCTCCTGAATACTCCTGTGGGCTTCACAGCCCTTCTTGAGCATCAAGTCATTTATGTAGACAGGGTTGATTGGCTTAAATCAGATTTAAGTCAGGAGATGGGAAGTGATGGTTTAAAGAATTGATTTAAATTTTATTCTGTAGTTTTAGGCTTATCTTCAGGAAAATAGTTTATAATTAAAACGTTTGCAGTTGCACTTAGTCAATAATTCCTAAACATGTTTCAGCCTTTTGGCTTGCTTTATGAGTATACTTACTCATTTGCTTCACTTGAGACAGTTCTAAACTTTTCTTAAAGAGTAAATAATTGATTTGGTTTATAGTTGTGTAGTTAATAAATTTCCAATTTTATCCAAAGATGCCCAAAACGAACATGATATGCATTTCTCCAGCAGGCCAGAGGATATGTAACAAACATACTTCAACTCTTGTATTTGTCATCTTGCTGTTAAAGCAGTTTGTGAGAACTGTTTCTGGTCATTCATCAGAGCTTCACGGGGAACAGCCCTCTGCCTCTGGCACCTTATCTCTGCTGAGAGAATGAAAACATGCCGTTCTTCTTTTTAACTCCCTGTTTGGAGCGATGTGGTCACTGAACTGAGATGCCTCTTGGCCCAAATGCAGAAGCTGCCCTGCACCAGCAGCACAACCCGCTGCCCCATCTGCCGCGGCAGTCACCTCTCCTGGGCTCGTAGCGGGTGCTTCAGCACGCCAGCATAAAACTTCCTCAGCATTGAAGTTAAACACCAACCTTGGTAAAGATTGTTATAACACCAGTTTAGTTTAAATAGTTCAGTTTTAAGATGAAACAAGTGTCTGGTCAAACTGAAGAAGGAGTGGGAACCTGAGGTCTGCGCATTTGAGATGGTGTGACCCCACTGGGGCTGGGGTTGCTGCTTAGCCAACGGATTTCTGTGGGCAAGATACATTGGGCATCTTACATCTGGCTGTAAAAAATCAATTTACTCAGCTTTGCAGTCCTTTAGGTTTGGCTGCATTCATGTTCCCATGGATGAGGGCTGGGTATCGCGATGCTGGTCCTTTCCTAGAACAGGATAGAGCAATCTTGTTCCTTGCTTTGGTGGTGTTGAAGATACCATTATTGTATACACCTTGTTGGTGTCCACTTAGAGAACTACTGGTTTTACTTGGTAGTGTTTGTTTGTTCAGGTCAAGGAAGGTGTTTCTGTTGCAAAGAATGGAGCACATTGGTCTGAGAGTAAAAGGGTGCTAAAAACTGTCTGGTTTTCTTATAGTAAAGATCTAGGTGATGGGGAGGGAGCCTGCATTAAAAAAGAAAAAGAAAAAGGAAGAAGAAGAAAAAAAAAATTTTAGAGACCAGTATTCAGGCTAATTTCAGGAAAAGGTGGTTGTGCAGGTTTGGCTATGCCTCCTTCCACCTGTGAAATCACAGTGTCCATGGGTCTCTGTGCCGGTCCCTGCCCTGTTTCCTTCAGCATTCTCCATTTTGAAGCTGCCAAACTTTTGTTTGATCTTGCAGCCTTAAAGTTTCTTTAATCTCGTATTGTGCAGGAGTGTGTCTATAAATAAACCAGAGAGGCATTTTACAAGACATTGATGACCTTCTTGCAAAGGTCTTTTAAACTATAACCTGAGACAGTGGGTCACAGTGGGTGGGTGGAGCAGGATCTTTCTTTGTTCCTGTATTGAATCTTTGATGCAAGCTGAGAACAAATCTTTGTTCGTCTTTGCAGATATCAGCTACTGACCATGTCCACAGAGTTCCAGGATGCTCACCTTGCAGAGGTGAAACCTCTGGTGGAGAAGGAGGAGGTAAATATTTTAAAGCTTTTTAGAGCTTACATGTTTTATTTCAGGGCTGCTGTTGGAACTGCACATGTGTTCTTAGATTAGTTCTAATATATTGTTTGGGAGGAACAAGTATGGGAAAATGGAGATAGAATAAGAGGGTGGGGTTTTTTTAGTAATGCAAAACTGAGCCATAATTATTTGCTCTTTCTTAATCTTTGGCTTTACTCTTCTCTAGAGCTAATCTGGTGGTGACGTTTTTTTTTCAGAGTGACGATTGCTCAGGGTGTCTTTAGCTCTTTTGAATTATCTTAATTAGGCAATCTCAAGTAGACCCATCTATATCTATAGATTTCTCAATGTAGAGATACAAACTTTGTTCTGTCATCTGCCTTTCAAGGAGGCACAGAGAGAGCCTTTACTTTTCCCCTGGGCACATCTGAGTCTGGAGGTGTCACTGTGCCCCACCTAGTCCTCTCCAGCTGCACTGAGCCATGAGTTACAGCCAAACTGCTTCCAGGTCTGCAGCTGGCTGAGTGTGCACAAGCTGCAGCCATTCCGCTGGGGTTGCACTGTACAAACACCTTCAGCCTTTTTTTGCTTGACCCTGTTGTACTTTGCATTTGTTTTAGCACCATTTTTCTCCAAAAATCTGCCTGCAACATCTGGGTTCAGTGGCTGTCTGACTCTTCAATGGTAGCAATACTCTGTGCTTCGGTACGCTCATGGCAAATAATTCACTGTAATACATGAAGGAACCTCTCAGATTTTTTCTTGAATCAAAACTAAGATTTTTCTTTTGTTCCCAGCGATTGTAACTCTTGATAATGATGTATATAAGTGTATTGTGTTTTTTTCTGGTCTTCTGCACCAGAACTATTCCTTGCTCTATCTGCTACTTTCTTTTTATTCCCTAACTCTTTCGCCTAAACACTTCAGAAAATCATTTCCACTTGCAACTGTAGTGAAATGGCTAGAGAAACTTTAAACACAGCTCCCTTGCCAAGGACATTGCATGAAAGCAGAGCTTGTTTGGATACCAGTGAATGCAGCACTCAAACTTCTCAGAAGCTAAGATCCCTTTTTAATGCCAGTATTGTTCAATAGTAGCAAAGCAAAGCAGATACTAAGCAAAAGTCCTATGGGTACTGAAATGACTTTGCTTCAACATTCAGAACTATCTTAAAACACTGATTAACTTCCTGGGTTTCTGTAGCACATAGTTCAAAAGTTGATGTCTTGGCAATGAACCCTATATACTTTTGTTCGCAATATTACCTGAAGTTTTGTCTGCGTGGGGAAACTAGCAGAAAGTTTGATTTTCTCCATGGCCGTTCTCAACAGAGTGAAAGAAGTTATTTAATATATTTTGAGAAAGTGGAGAAGATTGCTCTGAAGGGCACTCAGCATATACTGATGTTAACAGTCACATCCTGGCTTAGTGTGCCTGGATTTCTTCTACAGTTGTTCCCTGACAGTGATGGAGCCTTATTTTGTATGCTGACTAGACAGGCACTATATCTACTTATTTCTTTTAAGTCTAGACCCCACTGGAACACCAGTGTATGAAACTAGCAATGCTTAAAAGGTCATGATACCAACAGTACAGAAAGATTAAAACCCAGCATATTACCTAAATCTAAGGCTGTGTAAAATGCCTTCCACATTCTCAGCCTGCTCTTTAGATACCTGTTTGTATATACAAGACACTGCCTACTTACCTAAAAATCACAGCTGTCATAATTGCAGGTTGGACTGCAATGCTTTGAGGGCCACCATCTGAGATGATATTGCCCAAGACAGCAACCGTACTGCTTCTGATGTCTTCTATTTTTAATTTACCTGCACTTCTGAGACTGTGTGACCTCCTTGCCAGCATCCTAAGCCTTGCTTTTTATCTCTGTTCTTCTTTTTCAAGCTTGAGATTCTCTGTAGAATAACAAGTGTTCTTCTGTGGCATAACAAGTGCATATTTGGCTACTCTTTGGCTGTTAACTCTGCAGCATAACAAGTGTTGGTTTGGATGCTCTTCACTCTCTTTTCAGCCCTCCAGTGGAAATATGAGCTTGACTTCTTCCTTGTCTTTTAATAGAAGAAGATGACTTTAAGATACTTCTTCCTTTGAAGTTACAAACCTTTTAGACTATTGGAGATGGATAGGATGTCACTTTACTCCTTTTCTGAGGGACATCCTTAACATAGGAGCTTGTCAGTATTAGCAATGGCTGGTCACAGGTTCAAATGGACCTCTCCGTGTCCAGCCAGCCTCCTAAACATAACAAGGCCTGGATAAAACCCTTCCCACCTCCCACGTCATGTAACCAAATCCCAGTAATGGCTGCTTAACTGAGTTGTGAGTGCTCAGTGCATGCTTGAACAACGGCTTTCCATCGTAGGTAGGATGGAGGAGGGCTGTTGGCTGGCCCACAGTGACAATAACCAATGGAGAAAAGTTCAGTGTTTTAGTGCTCTGACTTCGCCAGTCATTTAACAATAACTGAAGATGCACTGGCTTTTGTGCTTTATTTTGCTGGTCTGTAATCTGGCATTTTACTGCTTTCATGTTCTCCATGAGGATTAGTGGGCAAAAGCTCTTGGGTGAATTTTGGTGTTCAGCAAGAGAGCTTTCATTGAGTAAAGGGACGGGAGAGAGCTCAGCTGCAGAACTGATGGGTTAGAGCACACATGTCCCAGCACAGATTTCTGTATCTGAAAAAGTTACGTGCATTAATGCTTTAAAATCTCTTCACAGGCTATCACTCGCCTCCTTCCAGACTTTGATGTTCAGGCAAGTAAAGCTCTTTTCTTGGTTTCTTTTTTTTGGGGGGTTGTTTTTGGTTTTGGTTTTTTTTTGTAAAAGGGGAAACTGAATTGACATTTGAGAAAATGGCAAAACGCAATCAGGAATGACTGACTGCTCGCCAGAAATACTGTTACTGTGGGAGAGGGGTCTGAATGGGGCTCTGACTCAGCGATATGAAAGGGACTGCAGGAGGTCTTTTCGGACAAGCTGAGAAAGTTTCATCCAAAAAGGGTGGCTGGGTTGCAAGCAGCTCTATTCTTGCTAAGAGAATGAGATTCTTCAGCTGTGCCAGTGAAAGCAAAATATTCCCCGCCCTCATGGACACACGCTTTCCTCAATTAATTTGCTCTCTTTAGCAGTGTGTGTGCATTTCCTTGGAGGAAATGTCCCTCTCAATGTATCCCATTATGTCATTGAAAGTTTCCAAAAGATTCCTGAAGCCTGCTTAGTGGTGGAAGGTGCTAAGCAATCAGTTTTGTCTATAACAGGAGTGGCAGTAGTTTCCATATGGGGCTGGAGCACCTCTTCTACGAGGACAGGTTGCGGGAGCTGGGATCGTTCAGCCTTGAAAAGAGAAGACTTCGGGGAGACCTAATAGCTGCCTTCCAATACCTGAAGGGAACCTACAGGAAGGCTGGGGAGGGACTTTTTACAAGAGTGTCCACTGATAGGACAAGGGGAAATGGGTTTAAGTTGAAGGAGAACAGATTTAGATTAGATCTTAGGAAGAAACTCTTCAGTATGAGGGTGGTAAGACTTTGGAATAAATTGCCCAGAGAAGTTGTGGATGCCCCCTCCCTGGAGGTGGTCAAGGCCAGGTTGGACGGAGCCTTGAGTAGCCTGATCTAGTTGAGAGGCTTCCCTGCCCATGACAGGGAGGTTGGATTAGATGATCTCTAAGGTCCCTTCCGGCCTATGCCATTCTATGATTTACAGCCAGAACATAAGAGTTCATAAAGCATACCACTAGGTCAAATGGTGACTTTCCACTTTCCCTGTGTGTCATGTTTTTAAGAGGGCACTTTGTAACTCTCTTAGATCTTCTTGTATATTATTTTATCACCATTTTGGCTTCTGACTGAGGAGGTTATCCTCACTGGCTCTTAAGCTGAGACTGAGGAAACGCACTGCTGTCGGAGTCAGTCTGAGTTCAACTAGGAGGAAGACCAGGGAGCTTGTACCTCCCTCGACAAAAGGAGTGAGTGGGGAATTCCCATCGCTGAGGACAAGAAGGAATATATGTTGGGAAAAGAGGCTTGATGGCTGTCTTATTTTTATCAAGGGGGTGTAGGGACGTAGGTAGATTGTGCAGGAATAAGGAAAGCTATTAAATTGTTCTAGTCTCTTGAATGTGCAGATGGAGGTCCTTGGAGGAAATAACTTTGTACTTTCTTGCATGTTGCACTTTATTTGCACCTGTCTATATTTATATTGAATGTTGTGCAACTTGGTTAAAAATGCAGCACAAACTCAGCAGTCTTTTCCCTGGAAATGAAGGGAGACAGTTATCGCAAACATCTTTGCTATCTTTTAATGTCTCTTACTTCTGTAGTAAAACTGTAGTTTACTTTAAACCTGTATCTTCTCACTCATCCTTTCTAAGGATGAAATACTGCCTGGAGTCTTGATATCTGTAAGTTAAAGTTAAAGTTGTCACCATGCGACTTCCTGCAGGACTGTGCACAGCAGGGGAGAAGCTTTCTGTTTGAGTGCAGATTGATCACTTGGTCTAAATAAATCCGAATCCCAGATTAAGTCTGCTAACAGGAATACTGCAGTATTTTGATTAAGAATCTAGGAGTGACCCATATTTCATTTCTATTCTTGGAACAAATTTGCTTGCTTTGTAAACCACGTGTATATATAGATGTTTTTAACTTGCAAGATCAAATTCTCTAAGCCTTTTGGGTTTTTTTCCATGTTTTGGATTAACTGTCGCTAATCCAGACCAGTGGTTCTTGTCATTTAGCCCTGTTTTGCCAGCTCTTGCTTTTTTAATGATCTCTCTTTCTTCAAGTTTAATCTTGGGTTGTTCTAGTTCAGGAGGGAAAAATGTTGAAGAAAAGTCTCAATCCGTTATGTTAAGAACTGCCATTGGAAAGGAGGCTTAGCTTTTGGTCTTTGAAACCACAAGTACCCTACCTATGTGTTTTTAAGTTCTTCTGTGGTTGATTTATGAAAGAGGTAGCTTGAAGCTGTTGTGAGAGACTTGATTGCTTATTTCATTAGAGAAGTTCATGTGTAGCCCTGGAGGACTCAGGTCACTCGGGGCTGACACTGAAGCTGATGTGTGCTCTTAGTGAGCAACCTCTGCCATGAGCCACACTGAGGAGGAGGATGGACCTGGCCAGGGAAGGAGGCGATCAGCACTTGGCAGGATGGAGCTCCTTATTTAGTGCCTGTGAATTCTCTGGAGGAAAGCTTTCATGGAGTTACTAGGAGGGGGCCAAGAAAAGAGATGGAAGAACTGACAGCTCTGAACTACCTGTAGTCAGTACTGTGTGTCTGTCTGTGGCACCCACCTGAAAATTTAAGTGAAGATCCCCTGTCTCCCGAGAAGGGCAGTGTTCCTGACCAAACCTGTTTTAGCACGATTACTGATAAACTGGTGCAGGGCAGCGTGCCCTGTGCTGCTTTAGGTTGGCTTAATGCCAAACACATTTTAATTGTATTTACGGTTTGCCGTATTTGCCTATTCTCTGAGCTTGGTAGCGCTGGAGCCGATGGAGACCTGGCTCCTCATCACTGTATGTATTCTCTTAGCTTTGTGCTTCAGAAGTGAGCAGTCCATCAGGAGACTGCTTTCTCAATAGCAAAGCAAAACTTCCCAAGCTGAGCAGCAGCTGTAGGTGGCAGAGATGAGTTTGTCCCTTGGGATTCATGGCTCGTGGCCGTCTGTATCCACCGGCACGCAAGAGGCATTTCTGCTTTCCCTCCTCCTCCTCCTGCCTGGAAGGGGAGAAGGATATAGCTGCCTTGTAACAGGAGACAAATCCGCTGGTCCTCATGGCATGTTGGGGTGGGCTTCCCACTCGCATCGGTGGATGCAGTTTGGGGCTTTGCAGCTTGTCACATGGATTTCCTTATCCTTGTAGGTTTCTGAAGGAAAGGGATGGAAGGTGGTTGTATTTTTACAGAGCGGTGTGACCCAGTGCTAATGGGACTAGGAAGAATCCCTGGGCAGAACTTTTGCAATAATCTGCTTCAATTCTTGTACTAAAGTTTTTATGACTGGCTTCCACCTTAGCTTCCTTCCTTCTGCCTTTGGCTTCACCGAATCACTTCCATTTACATCTGATGTCCTCATGCTTACCAATGTACCCAACTCACAAACTGAATTGGGGAACCTTTTCCTTAATATTGCTAATTTAAATCCCTGGGCAGAACTTTTGCAATAATCTGCTTCAATTCTTGTACTAAAGTTTTTATGACTGGCTTCCACCTTAGCTTCCTTCCTTCTGCCTTTGGCTTCACCGAATCACTTCCATTTACATCTGATGTCCTCATGCTTACCAATGTACCCAACTCACAAACTGAATTGGGGAACCTTTTCCTTAATATTGCTAATTTAAAATAGAAGTCTTAAAAACAAAAAAAAAAAAAAGAGAAAAATACCTCTAAAGGCAGGCATTGGGGTTTTAGGAGAACGTAAGATGAATAGAAATAACTATTTTAGAGTATAACAAACTTGGGGAAAAATGCTAAATAACTTCAGAGCGAAGGGGATTTGAAACCCAACATTGCAATACTACATTAAAAGCTCAAATATTTTTGATCTTCAAGTTGTTGAAAAAAAAGGAAGTGAAAAATAGCATCTGCAGGTATTAGTATATTAAATTTCTTAAGTAATATGAACTGAAAATATACTGTATCATAACAATGTAAAAGTGATTTAAATCCTTTTTGAGAGCTCTGAAGCTTTTCCCGCAGTTCTGAGGCAAGAGAAGGGAGGTATATTTAACAGGCATAATATTATAAATCGAAATAAAAGCATGAGATAGTAATTGAGGATTAAGCATATTCGAAAGTTTTAAAATAATCTTGATGGAATGTAGTGTTTTACTGAAAATGTAAAATACGGCGTTTTTAGCAAAATGTGCAATGTGTCTGTGCGGTTTTGGTGGCATATCCTATACTTCAGAAACCAACCTGTTCATAAACATGTTCCTCAATCCATGTCTTCCTTAGCCAGTGTAGAGAGAGGAAGGAATAAATGAGCTCTCCTGTGTTTACAGATTGCCTCCCCCTTCTAACGTCATGATAAAATGTCAAAAAATGTCACTTGACCCAAAAAAAAAAATCTACTTTGGAATGGATCAGCTTCTTCAAACTAAGATAGTCTCTCTTAAATTGCTCGTATCAAAAGTATTTTCAAAAAAAAAAAAGAGAAAAATACCTCTAAAGGCAGGCATTGGGGTTTTAGGAGAACGTAAGATGAATAGAAATAACTATTTTAGAGTATAACAAACTTGGGGAAAAATGCTAAATAACTTCAGAGCGAAGGGGATTTGAAACCCAACATTGCAATACTACATTAAAAGCTCAAATATTTTTGATCTTCAAGTTGTTGAAAAAAAAGGAAGTGAAAAATAGCATCTGCAGGTATTAGTATATTAAATTTCTTAAGTAATATGAACTGAAAATATACTGTATCATAACAATGTAAAAGTGATTTAAATCCTTTTTGAGAGCTCTGAAGCTTTTCCCGCAGTTCTGAGGCAAGAGAAGGGAGGTATATTTAACAGGCATAATATTATAAATCGAAATAAAAGCATGAGATAGTAATTGAGGATTAAGCATATTCGAAAGTTTTAAAATAATCTTGATGGAATGTAGTGTTTTACTGAAAATGTAAAATACGGCGTTTTTAGCAAAATGTGCAATGTGTCTGTGCGGTTTTGGTGGCATATCCTATACTTCAGAAACCAACCTGTTCATAAACATGTTCCTCAATCCATGTCTTCCTTAGCCAGTGTAGAGAGAGGAAGGAATAAATGAGCTCTCCTGTGTTATCGACTTACAAATCACCTCCCCCTCCTAACGTCATGATAAAATGTCAAAAAACGTCACTTGACCCAAAAAAAAAATCTACTTTGGAATGGATCGGCTTCTTCGAACTAAGATAGCCTCTCTTAAATTGCTCGTATCAAAAGTATTTGTGTGTGTGGTTTTAGGGCACTGAGATAAGACTGCACCTCTGCTAAAGTGAGAGATGTGAACAGATGGTGCGTTTGTCTTTATCCTTCTATCGGATTAGTGTACCTTGGGCTTTTTTTCCAAGACAGTGTTTTAATACAAATCAGTTGAAGAGCCTCTTACTATAATGTTGACGTTGATTGGGATGTGTTGCCATCTGTTTTCAGTGCTCTGCATTTTGAAAACATCCATCCCTACATCACATAGACAAATCTCTTGATCTTTAATAGGCTCAATAAGGATGTGAAGTTGGTGGTTTGATGTCACCGAAGAAACTGGTTTGAATTGTTTGGTTTTTAGGAGAATGTGTCGGGTATTCGCTGTTAAGAGTTCGTGCTAATGGAAAATAGCACAACTGTCTTGAATTAGGGGAGTCTTACTGTGAAGATAATGAGGAATTAAACCAAGTGTTAAACTGACTGTGATTTATGCCAGTAATTAGGAATACGGTCGCCTGTCGCCTCTGAACTATTTTTAGTTGACACTGAGTTTGAACTAGTCTCAGACTTCTAGTTCCAGACGAATTAGCGGTGGAGGTCAGTGGGATGTGCAAGTTCAAGGGTTTGGCTTTATCTACCATGAACAGATTTTTTTTCTTTCATGCACAAAGAAGGAAGGTCCAAAATCTTGAAAGATGGTCCCTCCTAAGAAAACACATTCTAGATTTTCAGTGCCATTACTGGAAGGATCTCGTGATAAAAATCTGATGATAGAAAAAATACTTATTAGTCTCTAACTGAGGAGGAAATAATTTCTATGTTCCACACTCAGCAGGAGATGTGTTACACAATATAATTTACTTTTATTACTGGTGTTAAGGTTGCCAAACTATCAATTTTTATGCTTCGGATTGAAAATTATCTAATTATAGAAAGAAGGTAGAACGTGGAAAATATTAATTGTGGTTGTTATTAATTGCTATCTACTGCTACTGCAAATCTCTTCTGGAGTATTATATAATAAATATACCTATAATACCCTATTTTCTACCACAAATTAAACTTACAGTGACATTAGTATGACTGATGTAGGAATACTTTAGACTAAATGTTGCTTATCTGCTTTGGATAATACTAGACTTCAAACATTTAATGTGCTTGTTTTTGTTGTGGAGAATCATTCTGACTTACACTGAGACTTCAAAGTCCTTTGTGTTCTTACTGTCAACTTTTCTCCTGGCTTTTAGGAAAGAACTTACTTCTGATTTAATTTAGAATGAATTTGGAATGTTCTGGAATTTGAGATAACAAAACCTGAAATTAAGCTAAATTTGTCAAAACCTGATGGAAGCAGCCACAGGAAAGACTGTACTAATTTCTAGGTTTGAAGTTTGGCACTTCTGTATATTGTGCAACAGATACTTAGTTCATCTTTGATGTCTGAGCTCTATTAAGTACTTCTGGTCAAACCTGACTTGAATCCTATTTAATAATGACGTCGTCATGAATTAGTCTGTTTTGGCTTTTCAAGCTGGGTATTATGGGAGTCATAAGCCTGTGCAGGATAGCTACGTGTCTGTATAAACCAGTTTCCTACTTGGAGAAAGTAGAAACCAGCTACTATCCTCTGTCTGACTTGCTGGATTTATCGCCTTGTTTTGCCTAAAGATGGTGCTGGATATGGAAGATACAGTTTACCTGCTAAATAATGCAGTGAGTATGCAGAGGGCTGACTCTCTAAGGAGACATAAAAGCTGAACATTAGTGTTTCAATGGAGTATAGTTCAGATGATAGATAACAGCAATATTCAGGTCGTCCAGTGTACAAGTGTGGGGGGATATTGATTCATTGCTGTAATAGTACCTTGAAACTGATGCAAATGTTTAATTGCAAGTAAAATAGGTGAAATGTGAAATGATGTTGCCTAGCATCCTTATTTTCAACAAAATGTGTGGTGTATTTCACGTATAAAATTATCAAGCTGAGACGTAGATCTAATTAATACCTCAGATCTCCGAAGAGCTTTTGGGTTTTGCTCTGTAAAGGTTTTCACAGAGGCTGTATGCACCTGATTTCTACAGCATGATTCGTAATAGATTTGAATTTAATTCGGACTTTGTCTCTGGGCATTGCTGCAAGGAGCAAGTAAAGCAAGCCCGGCAGCAGCAGATAGTACCCTGTACTGAATGGCGTGGAAATCCATGTGCTGTACAGGAAATTAAATACTCTGATGAAATGCTAAGATTGGTTACTGTCACGTTTTGAAGTTAAAACGACCAGTCTGTATAGTAAGGTCAAAAGTTGCTGGGACCTTTGTGTACATCTTTGGCGAGTACACCAGTTCGGTAATACTATAGCCCAACCTCCTTATATAAGGGCAAAAGTTCCTAGAACTTTTGAATATATAACTTTGGCGAGTACACCGGGTCGGTAGTACTATAGCCCGACCTCCTTATAATAAGGGCAAAAGCCTCCAGAACTTTTGTATGTATAAGATTTTATTTGTGACAGGATATAGATTCTTAGGTAGCCGGTGATAGTGACTGACTACAAAAACAACTTTAACTGAAATACTGCAGTGAGAATATAAAACTATTACTGATCAGTGATAATACCAAATAGCTAGTAAGATGTTAGAAAATAAATGCGCATAACACAGAGTTCTTACCCAATAGACGTCCCTGGGGAGGGGAGAAGAGAGGTTCAGCCCGTCGACTGATCCCAGATGTTTCGATGGAGGGGCTTCTCCCTAACATCCCCTTTGTCTTTTGCCATTTTATACCTTTTCTTTACTTTCAGGTGGAGCTTGAGTGACTCTAGTCATACATACCTTTATTAGGATTGGTGTAAACTTTTCTCGCTTCGATTTAAAGGTATAGGCAAGAAGAAATTCAGGGCACCTGCTCAGTGAGGGGTGGTCGCAGCCCAGAGGCAGGTAGCTTTTGAGGTGGAGGTGTGTTTTGGTATTATAATGACATTATAATGAGCAAAGTTCAACTAAAGGACAAGATTTCCTGGGGCAACAGTTGCAAGCTGTCTTCCTGATGGCAATTAGACGGTTATCTTCACCAGATGTTCTTTGCCCCTGATAACAGGGATGAGCCATGGTACCTCCGCACCACTCTAATCCCCACTTCAAAGACATTGCTCATTTCATCTGACCAGCAGGCCGTGTCTGTCCTGGGAGCAGCAACTGTGTCTCACCTCAAAGCTGCTCCAATATTGCAGCCTTTGAGTTGAACTTTGCAAAGCCGTATTTCTCCATTTTCCCCAATTTTGGTTATTTTCCCACAGTTACTCACTAAATACTGCCTCCATAATACCATATGTGAGCATCATGGTACTGTAAATACGTGTCATAAATAACTATTTTTCTGTGGTTCTCTTTATATATCTCAACGAACTAACAAATTGTTTATACTCATCTGAAGCTCAAACGCAAAAGAAACAAAAACTGTTCATGAAGTTGTGAATGCTGGTACAATTCAAGTCACATCCTACTTACACAGGCTTCCAATAAATAAAAGATGGAACTCGAGGCCTTTGATTTGCTAACAAAGGTGTCCTTAGCTTTAAGATCATTAAGTAGTACAAACTCCAGTTATGTCAAATAATAACAGTAGGCTTCTTAAGGTTGTTTCTCTGATAATCACCACGACAATATTGTGGGTATGCTATTCTATAGCAAACTTCAAGCAGCTGGGTGTACGCTCAGGTCTATGCATAACAAGCCATAAAGCTAATACATGTGGCCATCATGTTTATTGGGGAAGACTACTATAATCACAAGGCCCCATAGTGTGCTGGGGAGTACAGGCTGCTTAATACTGCATTCTTTGGGGAATAGTAATTTGCTGAGTTAAAGTCCACCTCCTAGAAAACAGAAGTACTTTATCTTGACAACTTGCATTTTTGAAAATGTCGACAGTCATAGTTCTAAACTGTTGTTATTTTAGGTGTCATTGCACCAAACTGCTTTTTTTTTTTTTCCCTTATGCTGCCTTTTAATGAGGTTAAAAATGATTTAACTATTCCCTTAACATCTTGTTAGAGCTAGCAGCTTAAGTGCTTCTGTAGTTGTCTGTGGACTGGAGTAGGTGACAGCCAAATGTAAAACGTTAGCAGAGAGCCCTCACTGTAGGGAAGAATGGGATGTGTTTTCATGGGAATTACAGAGACCTCCGGGGCTGTGGGCAGACCCTGGGATGGGGCAGAGCCTGTGGTCCTGGTCAGGCAGAGGTCTGCTGCAGTGGGTGTTTAGCGAAGCACTGGGACAAGCCCCTGAAGATTCCTCCTCTTCTTTGCCAGGAGCAAGATGTGGAGACTGTACATGGCTCGGTCCATGTCACCATGTGTGGGACTCCCCGAGGTAACCGACCAGCTATCCTCACCTACCACGACATTGGTCTGAATCGTAAGTAGACCTTTCCTTTAATAGCACAGGTATAGCCTGATTCCTTAACACTACTGCCATACTCAAAGGTGTGGAAGTGGTGATGGTTAAGAAACCTTTCCCAGGTCCTTGCTCGTTTATGTGCATTGCAACCAGTGTAATGGTACCTAATGCCTCTCTTACAGCAAGTTTAATTATCAGGTTATTTTTTTATCTTCTCAAAGTAAATAATTGGAATATTTCATTTAAAGATGCGAAAGATCTCTGGAAGCTCATAGGGACTGTGTATAAACGCTATAAAAACATCTGTCAGTGACTGTGTATAAATGCTATAAAAACATCTGTCGTAGTGACTGTGTATGAACATCTGTAGGGGGTGGCGGGGGGTGTATTGCCAGCACGGGTGAAAGCAACATTGCTGGTGCTTTGGCTGAGGTTCCTGTCTGATAACTAGTCTTACGCTGCTGTGGGTTTATGTGAATTACATGTCAAATCAGGATGATGAAGTGAGTGCTGGGATGGTGTCCTTATCCAGCGTGTAGAAAATAACTTTGATAAGTGTCTTTTATTTTATCTGTCAGATCCAATAATATAATGACCAGATCTGCTCTAATTTATTCTTTTTACAGTAGTTTGTTTCACACAAGTTCCTGTTTCTGAACTAATATTTACATTTAAAAACACCCACAGATCTTTAAAGTCTGGCTATTGCTGAAGGGCAGATATTACTCATAAGAAAAAAGTCTGTTTTCTTGCCTGTTTTTTTTGTGGAGCTGCCTTACTTTATTTTTGATTTTCAGTGGATCAGGGCAGAGCTTAATCTGGGATCTATCTTTGAGTAAGACTTTTTTCTTTCTAGAGTTACAAAATCTATCTGTATGGTGAATAAACTTTCTCTCCCTTTGAAAGGGGAGGAACCTCTTCCTAAACTTACATATTCTCCTAAAGCTGATTTTAGCCTAAGATGTTTTATATTCTGCAATGATTTTGCTTGTATGTTGTAGTGTGAGGACATTCAGAAACACGTACAGAATACTGAACTGTTTTCTAGGCATCTCAAAGATGGTGCTACAGAATTCATGCTTTCCACCCCAGGAGGAAAATATGCTAACCCTTTCCTCACGTTAACATTGCTTAAATATCAGAAATCAAATCACCTCAAAGTTGGGAGCCTACAGCACTGGATATCCCAGAAGGACACTTCGTCTTGAGCTGCCAGCAGCAGCCACTCATGTAATGTTTATCTTGTAATATTTGGGCAGAAGCACAAGTCATGATTCCAGCCTTGGATACTTTTTTCCTCCATCTGTTTTGACACAATCCAAAGAAAAATGACTGGACAAGTAAATGGATAATTTAATCTAAGCCAGCACCAGGGATGAAGACTCCTGACTGCACTTTATTAGTGTTTTAACTTTACATAAAGAATAATTTTTTGAGATTTTGGAGTACCAAGCAAATACTTCTGACTGGTAGCAAAATAACATGGATAAAACTTAGCTGGCCGTGAGGAAGAAGTTGTTAAGGTTTTTTGCTTCAAGGAATTAAAGCAAGTTGGCACAGATTTCTTTGTAGCAGGGCTTTACTGGTCTTTCCTCCTTAGAAGTAAAGGTCTGCCACTTTTTCCAGGCTATAAAATAGTTCACCTGATTGAATCAACTTTTCATTAACCTGCAGGTTGATGTTATTAACAGGTTAATAAATTATATTATTATAGCTGCAAACTTACTATTTCCTCTCAGCATAATTATTCCATATTTTCTTTTCCTTCTCAAGATAAAACTTGCTTCAATCCTCTCTTCAACTTTGAGGATATGCAGGAAATCACCCAGCACTTTGCAGTCTGCCATGTGGATGCACCTGGTCAGCAGGATGGAGCACCCTCCTTCCAAGCTGGGTGAGTTGTCGGGGAAACAGCCCATGCTTTTAGAGTTATCCTCTTTCTGGACAGAGAGTCTTGATCTGCAGTTAATTAAAAAGCACTTGCAGCAAACACAGTAGTTGACTTTTGATCTTAAATCCTGACGCTCTATTTCTAAGTTACTGGAGCTCTTGGAGCTCTGTTGTGTTGTGCCGGTGGAATTTGGGGCTGTGATTTTGTGTTTTAGCTCTGATAACTAGACTTCTTGTAAAGCAATTCCTTGACAGATGATTACGTCTGTCGATATAAATACCGAGTTACCTTGTTTTGTAATGACATCCTGAATACAATTACAAAATTAAATTGTTACTTTAAACAAGATAGGTGTTAGCCACTGTGCAATGTCTTTGCTAACCCCACGCTTTTTATGAAATGACAACATAGTAGATGTTGATAAATAGACTTGATAACCTACTGGGAAAATCCAGGTCTTTGGACAGTAGAAAAGTGATGTACCCCCTAAAGTATCATAGATAGCTGCATACTCCTGACTGTATTATCATGTATGATACTGTAACTCTTGGAAACCTTGTGTGCCATGAGCACTTTCTTCAGCAAAATGCTTGTCCCATTTAGTTCAAACAAGACAGATTTGCCTTAAGATGCCCCTTGGTTATGAATCAGCTTGGTTGAGGAAGAGAGCAGCCAACATGCCAAGGGGAGGGTACAAGGCAAGGAACAGTTGTTCTGTAAGAGCTAGGTATTAAGGAGCTTATATGTACCCTTATTGCATGAGCCAGTCTATTTCCCTTCTTAACTTTTAAGCTGGTCTGATGCTGAGGAGGTCACGATGGGCCAGGTTCTCAGCTAGTGTTAACTGCAATGGCCCAATTGTCTACCAGAACAGCCTACAAAGCTCTTTCAGTTGCTCTCCTTTGTATTTGTTTGAATCACGAGCTTTTAAGTGTCTTAACCCTCATGTCCTGAACAAGCGTTAACACTTCTGAGTTGTCAGCTGCATAGGGCAGCCATCATGATCTGTGCTAGTAAAGACCACTGCTTAATGACATTGTGATGGCAGCACAAGAAGCTGGGTTGCCTCTTCCAGACCTCCAACTGGGAGACCAGCAGGCTTGAGTTAAAAGTCATAGCTGTTGCAGTGACACTAGCTTTGTCATGACAAAGTTTAGTTTCCCAACAAGAAAGTCTAAGAAAATAACTTAAAGTAGTTTTGCACTATTTTATTTTTGTTTGGTGTTATTTCGGAGACTAAACTAGAGAATCATTAGGTGTAGCCCTGATGGGAAGTAGAGATTGGAATACATACTAGGCAGATGTTCTCCAGCTACTTTGGGTGGATTTTTTTCCATGTGCTGCTCAGCTGAGATTTTCCGCAGAATTTCCTTCCCTCAAAACTTTGTTTCTGCTCTGCAGAAGACCAGGAGCATTAACTGGCAGCTGTTTTGATTGAACTTCCTCAGCAACTTTGTAACCCTTACTATGCCTTTGTCTTCTCCATCAGTATTAATAGAAAGCTATCCTCATTTATCCTATGGGAATTTGTGTGTCCCTGAAAACATGCATGCAAATTATTTGCCAAAGATCTAGATCTCATTGCTGTAGTCTGTGATTCTGCAATACCGGGAAACTTTTTTTGTGGTGGACCAGAAATACAAGTGTGGTGAATGTGGTTGGGAAATCACCTCTCAAGCTCAAACATTTTCGTAAGTTTTAAATGAAGAGATTCATTATGGGCTGTTTTGCTCTCAGCCAAACTAGACATCTATTTTCCTGTAACTCACATAAAGTACCATATAGATTATGCTCATATTTCTGCTAAATTAATTACTTGTACTTGCTCCTGATTTGATTTCAGCTCATACTGTCAATGATCTTGTAATGAGCACATTTGATGTTACATCTACAGTGACTGCTGTGTGTCTAAATGCACCAGCCTACTCTACTGAAAGTGGTGTAGTAACTCCACAAACACATTTGTTGCAGGTACGTGTATCCCTCCATGGATCAGCTGGCTGAAATGCTTCCTGGAATCCTGAAACAGTTTGGGTGAGTGCAGAATTATTTACTTGTTTTCCTCATTCTTGTCTCTACGTGGCACTCCGAAAGAGCAGGGCAGGGCAGGTATTCGCCTGTGCAGCCCCTGAAGCTTTGGTCTGGCTTTCTGGCATTTTGTTTGTTAGAATAATGGTTGCAGTTGTTTTTTAAGTCTTCCATTATAGATGGATCACTTTTGCCTTTGTTTCCAAAAGGGCTTATTTTTTTGCCCTTTTTTGAAATGTCTGCTTATTTTTAAACAGGAAGCAACTTCAAGTGAAATCCCATGTGCCTAATTTAGGGGCTTCCTCCAGTATTTTCTATGCGTAGCCCTGACAGGGGCAGGGCACAGACAATCTGTTCTTCCCAATGTAACAACCCACGATTTCCTGTGTGATTAGCAGAAGAAAAATATGTGGTCCCATCTGAAGACACTTACTGTTTTGTTTCTGTGGCTTGAGTGTCTTAGGTGGTCAGTCTGACCTCCTTAAGCCTCTTCTGCTACCAGATGCAGATGCCAGATTGCCATTGTCCAAGGACCCGGTGGCAGAGTTCCTCTGTTGTCTACTCGCAACAAGTTCAGGCGTGTGTCCTTCCTTAAAGCTTAGCTTTGGCAGGAGCTGTAGCTGAGAAAGGTACCTTCTCTGCAGAGTTGGTGCTCCTGGTACATGATGAAGAGTGCAGGTAGGCATCTCCAAGGGGTTTTCAGACCAAGCAGGGAAAACCTGTCACTCAGTGTCAGGCAGCCTTGGAGAACAGACAGGCTGGACTGCTGGCAGGGATTTAGTCTCAGACCAGCACCCCAATTTAGATGTTGCTTAGCTGTTGTAACCACCTGTTACAACACCATTGACTAGTGTACCTCACTACCTTCTTAAAAGCAATTGTTTTTTTGAAACACCTAATTACAAGGGAGTGTAGTGATAGGACAAGAGGCAATGGCTTTAAAATGAAAAAGGGCAGATTTACATGAGACATAAGAAAGAATTTTTCTCCAATGAGGGTGGTGAGGCACTGGGAGAGGTTGTCCAGAAAAGCTGTGGCTGCCCCATCCCTGGAAGTGTTCAAGGCCAGGTTGCATGAGGCTTTGAGCAACCTGGTGTAGTGGAGGGTGTCCCTGTGCATGGCAGGGGGGATGGAACTAGATGATCTTAAAGGTTCTTTCCAACCCTAACCATTCTATTATTGTAATATAAGGCACAATGTTGCCAGTTCTGCTCTTGCACTGGAAAAAATGCTTATGTACCTTAAAAATAAATTAAACTGGAGTGTACTTACAAAGCCTTGATTTAATATTGCTAATGAGAATGAAAACTACCCTCAGATATTTTCCTAAAAGCATTTTATAACCTGTTTTTCTGAGTGGCTTTGTCTAGTCTTCCTTTCCATGTATTTTCTCAGACCTTGAAGGTGCCGCTTTAAAACTGATTTCAGTTAATGCAAATATTTAGTTTGTCTCTGCCCTGTTTCGTTATGAAGTTTAAACTTAATCACCACAGTGGCTGGATAGCATGAGAGGTTTCCCTGCCAGCCCCCTGTTAGAGAGGAATCGGCGTCCCAGTTGGATAGTTGTACTGGGGAGGGCAGGGGGAGCCTGGGGAGGAGAATGCGGGGGGGGGCTGTATTTAGGCTGCAGATGTCAAGACTCTATCTTATAAGCTTTTCTGGCAGAGAGTAACCATTTTCTTCCAGGATCTGAACAATGCTATGGTTGCTCAGTGTATTTACTTAAAGATAAGTGAGAATTGCTGCTGCCCTGCAATGCACGAGGACCAGCATCCTGCAAACCTGCCAAAAACAAACCAGCTGCTACATCGAGCTCTGTACCGGGGCCGGTGGTATTGCTGAGGGTCCACGGTTTGCCCAAGCTGCAACCCACCCTTCCACAGATACCCGCTGGCATGTGAAAGAGGAAGGCTGCTGATGCCGTTTATTTATTTTTGGTGCTGTTTTACTCATTTGTCTCTTCCGTTTCATTGCTGTGCAGGCTGAAGAGCATTATAGGAATGGGAACTGGAGCCGGTGCCTACATCTTAACCAGATTTGCGGTGAGTTTCGTGGAGCTTCCCTAAAGCCTCATACCCGATTTCCCTGACGTGTCGTCGCCCCTGTAGCGTGTGCAGAGAATTCCTGCTCTGCCGTGCCCGTTTAAGTAAGCAGCTAGACTTTTAAGTGAAATACCACGATCTGCGGGATAGCTAATACAGAAGACCTAGATTTTCCATTTTAAGGCCTGGGCTCTACCCAGTTAATTTGCAGAAGGTTTTTTTAGTGGGAGTTCTCTATTTAAACTGAGGGTGGAGAAGAAGTTAAATCTTAATGTTCTCCAGCTGCTCAGTTGAATTGCTGTAATGAAAATTTTTTTTCCATACATACGCTTGTTTTGTGCAAGATAAAACTAGACCTACCGCCTTCCTCCCCAGGAGATAATTTGCTGATTGAAATTTTATACTGACTGTCAAGTTGCAAAGGATATGCAATGAATCTAAAATCTTTTCTTTTGCAGTTAAACCATGCGGAAATGGTGGAGGGATTAGTTCTCATTAATGTAAACCCTTGTGCTGAAGGTTGGATGGACTGGGCAGCAACTAAGGTAAACATTTTTAAGTTCAAAAAATAAGCATGTCAAGCATGAGGAGCTAGGCAAGCTTGTGTGTCAAAGCATGGCTGCAGGCACAAAATATCCCAGGCTAATTCCTTTGAGGTTTATTCTTCAATTTGCAAGCATACCTCCTGTAGAGCTAGTGATAAAAATAAGTATTTCAACGAAACAGATACCCAAGGTATAGTGGAGCTACTGGGTATGAATGATTCTTAAGAGCTGGTCACTGCTGGGAAAAACCTGGTTTAACCTGGACACAGGGTAGTTTTGGAAACAACTTTTTTTCAAGAAGACTTCAAGTATAGTGAAACATTCAGTTCTTTCTTGTCCATGGCTTTGTTTACCAGCACAGTCCAAAATGTGAACTAGAGCACAGAAAAATGTTCAGAGCAACATCTTCCAGGTTTCAGTCATCTAGCTGAGTCTTAGATGCCAAAAAGACTCAGAAAATGACATTAGCTACGGTAACTGTGGACAGATTGTCCACACAAGACAGACTTTTATGTGCAAAATGTTCACGTACAAAGAAGCTCCTGTTAACGGCATTCTTTTGTAGTTGCAAGAAAGATTGCAATGTGGGAAAACAGGCGCTGAGAGATGGTTTCAAAAATCTTCCTGGAACCAGTATATATAAATAAGTATAAATGTTATATTACATGTCACTCAGCTTTAACCCGTTAGAACATTTTTCAGGATAAACTAATGGAAGGCACTTAGTATCATTCAGGATCATGTTTAAGTGAATGGCAGTTGTTTTAAACACTCTGAAAAGTGCAAAAATTAATGCGTCATGTTTTAACCACCCATGGAGTCAACCCACTGTAAGTGTCTAGGGTGATATTAAATGTAATGACAGCCTTATAATACTAGGAGAAACTTTCCAGAGCTGGGATGTAACATTATTTCAAGGCTTAGTTACTAATTTTTTTAAATAATTTTGCATACCAGTTTATTTTGCTAAGTTAGATCTGGAAGTATATTTAGTAACTCCTCTACATTGAGATGTACCAGTTTACTCATTTTGATTATCTCACCCAGTGTCTCTGTAATTAAATTCTTCCATATCTGTGTCTCTGCCTTCCACCTCTCTTAAGTATTGCTGACCTTAGGAGTACAGTGAGTGCCCTGTACCCTTCTGTCCTTCCAAAGCAAGAGCACCTACTCTGGGACATGAACTTTAGGTACCAGCTCCAACGTATTGTCAGTGTGAGTTGTCAGGGAGGAGATAGGCAGTGAGGTTAAACGCCACCCATCTGGCTGATTTGCTTGGTGTGCTTGCAGGGAGTGATTCCATATATACCTATGCCACTAGTGGTGTGTTCCCTGTATAACTGCATTAGTAAAGACATCTTATGAGAATGACTCAAACATAAACAACCTCTAATGGTGTTTTAGTTGGACTGAGGGGAAAAAATATTGATGGATATTGTACATGTATCAGGTTACATATCGAGATATTGTACGTATAAGGACAGCAGAGAAACATCCATTGATCTACTTTTGGGTAATTGAAAGGTTCAAGGGTTATTTTAATATCAGATACTTAGATAATCTTGCTTTTCAGATTTCAGGTTGGACAAATGCTCTGCCAGACATGGTCATTTCACATCTCTTTGGAAAGGTAAGGATGTTCAAAAGATTCATCTGATGCATTCAGTCATCTGTATTTATCTCCTGGGACTGAGAGGAGGAAAGAAACTTTAACTGAAACTGCAAAGTGCAAAGTTAAACTGTGAGATAGGATTCATACGTGTGTTCCCAGTATTTTGGAGGTGGTATGCTGCCATGGGAGTTGCTCTGTCCCCACAACTCAAGTGCATCTCAGTCCTGACAACTGTAGTAGAGGCAGCTCCTGGTTTAGACAGCCAACACTTAAACAGGACTGTAAGCATCATATGTGCTCATCTTCTGAGCAGAATAACCTCATAGACTTTTTTATGCCATAATATACTTGTAACTCTGGGAAAGCTGGTTATTAGTACTAATAGTGCTCTTCAGTGCAAGCCTACTTTAATGGAAAGTGCTGTGCTGTTTTCTGAGGCTACTTTGGTGTGTTTGAACTTGTCATTAAATGCAATAGAAAGCTCCATTCCAGCAGAACAAGGAACTAATCTATAAAGACTGTAGAACCAAACTGTTTGAAAATGTTATTGACTGAAGTCCTTGAAGCTTACTTATTTACTGTTGTGAAATTCAGTTCCACATTACATATGTTTGTACGCTTTCAACATCTGCTTTACCCTGGAAACATTTACTGAGCTTCTTATCCTGAATCTTTTCTTGTTTTCAAACTTCACACTTGTCTGACTGTAACCATCTGCACTACAGCTACATGTTTTGCAATCATAAGATCTTGACATTACAACATACTGAAGTCTTAAAGTGAAAAATGTGGTACTGCAATCGGATGCTGATGTTAATTCTGGGTGACACCACTGGGTACTAAAAGTTGTCCCTTCTCTAAATGTGCACTCCTGTTGTGTAGATATGAGTCTGATGCACAACTGCTGTGCTATGCCTTCAGATCCTTTTAGAAAATAGCCCCTATTCTGAACGATTCTGTCTCCACTGTAGGAAGAGATTCACAGCAACCATGACCTGATCCATACTTACCGTCAGCATATTATTAACGATATGAATCAAACCAACCTTCATCTCTTTGTCAACTCTTACAACAGGTAAATACATTTACCTGATTTCTAACTGGAAACTGTTTTAAGAGGCTGTCCAGCTCTTAGAGCCAGTATTACTTGTGTGGTGGAGTTACTTGTGTTCCTCCAGTATAAAGTCTTGTTTGACAGTGCCTTTAGAGATCTCAGATGGTTTGCTTATGGGAGAAGGACCTTGTGCATCTGTGGGGAGAAAGGTGGTACACA